TTTCTGTTATACAATTTTCATTCTGTTGTACTATTTTTACTTTGCACTATTTTTACTTTGTACTATTTTTACTTTGTTCTATTTTTACTCTGTTGTATAGGGTTTAAAAGATATATAAACTCTGCTTTTTCTCCTTAGACAAGACAGGTTTTTCTGACTTCACTTTAAGATTCTAGAAATATAAAAATACTTCTTCTTGGATTCTTTTATATTGAATAAAGATATTATACTTTTGCTTCTAAAAGTTTCTTTGAAATATACTCATTATATTAAGTGTTTTTATTATTTTTTCTTTATTTTTGTTTTTATTTTGTTTTTGTTTTATTCTTTTGTTTTTTTGTTTTCTTTCTCTGTTTATTCATATTACTTACTCTTAGCATGTTATCAAGTAGTATAGTTACTGCCCCAAAGTGACTACACTACAGTTTGGCGATGATGCTTTAAAAATCTCTGTACTATCTGTGATTTCTTTTTTGAGTTAAAATTATAAGTTAGATGTATATATATATATATATTATTATTTTTATATATTAAAATTTTTTTTAGTTTCTTTCTTGTTCTTTCTTTTTCTTCTTTCTTGTTCTTTTCTGTTTCTTTTTGTTCTTTTTATTTTCTTTTCTTTTTATTTGTTAGTTTTTCTTTCTTGTGTAATTTTGGTTGTGCTAATCATCTTCTTGTTACATATAGCACCATTGTACTACTTTAAAAACTATTGTTATATTTTTTATATATCGTAGTTTTTGTAACAGCCAGGTAATTCCAAAAATTATATTTTTAAGCAACATTATACAATTTTTTTTTTAGTTTGCAATTTCTATATACTGTTTATTTTGTTTAAATTTTAATACTGTTTTTTATTTATAAATTCTATTTAGAATCAAAATTTGTTTTTTTTTTTTTTAAAAAAAAAAGTTTTTTTTATATATAAATTCTTTTTTTTTATTAAGTATTTTCTTGTATATAATTATAATATAGAGTGATAAGCTGAAATCGTGAATAATACTCTGGCAAGTATTAGCTCTATAGTATAAATTTTATTATTTTTAAAATATAAAGTGATTGCTAAAATTGTGAATAGTACTTTGGCAAGTACTAGCTTTATTATTTTCAGTTCTTTAATTATAATATAAAGTAATAGCTGAAGTTGTGAATAATACCTTGGTAAGTATTAGCTTTATATTGTAAAAAATCTAAAAAGCCAAATATAGCCATCGACAGTTTGTTTATTAGTACTTCTTCTTCTGGTTATATCTTAGAATATCTCTAAGTCTAAGTATCTAATACTTCTTGGAAAACTAGTACATAAAGGTCAATAGATTAAACCCCTTATCCGTCTATTGAAAGTCTTATAGTACTTTTGGAGGCTATTGAATTTAGGTTCTCATTGCTATTATTATTATTATTATTATTATTATTTTATTTTATTTTTACTCTTATATTTTTTATTTTTATTTTTATTTTTTTTATTTTTATTTTTATTTTTATTTTTTATTTTTATTTTTATTATTTTTATTTTATTTTATTTATTTAATTATTTATTTTTTCTTGCCAAGTTCTTCTTTCTTTTTTTTTTCTTTTTTTTTTATTTTTATTTTTTATTTTTTATATTTTTTTTATTTATTTATTTATTTTTTATTTTTATTTTTTATTTATTTATTTTTTTTTGAAACTTAATTTTTTTTTCTCTCTATGCAAACTTTTTTTCAACAAACCTTTGATTTTTCTTGGAAATATTTTGAGTATATTCCTACTGATAAGCAATACTTTGATCTTTGTCAAGAAATTGAATTAGCTGCTTCTACACTTCAATCCAATAGTCCTCTAACTTCTAAACAAACCTCTCTTCTCTTTGAATATTTTCAATTTTGTGGATTTTCTTGAGCTAATAGAAAAAACCCTCAAACAAAAAGATATTGGGACCAAGAAGAAATAGTTGACCAAGATTTTAATACAACTTATATAGCAATATATTATTTAGAAGTACCTAATTCTGACAACCCAACTGGTACCATTTATCAATTACCTAATCACCAATCTCGACAACTAAAAGTTCATTTCTATACTGCTGCTGAATTCTTTAACTTAAATCGCTACGAATAAGAAATACAACAGGGTATAGTTTCTAAGGATGGTATTAAGCAGCTATATAAATTTTGACAATATGGATTTGCAACTGATCTTGATTAATTCTTTATGAATATTGCTCTATATCAAAACCAAATTCGAGAGCATAAATTTTTGCATGATACTAATCAGGTAGTTACAAAATTAAGATACGATTCAAGACCAGATTCTAGCTGTCCTGAGTGCAATCCTTCTAAACTTAGTTCATGAAATTCAAATCAGTTTATAAAATTTTGGAGTTGGTTTAATCAGAAGTATCAAGCTATCTATTTTACTTGTATAACTGTTAATACTTTTGAAGAGGCATAACAATCTGTAAAGGACAAACAATTCTTTGAAACTCTTATTCATTTGTTATTAACTACTATTCAATATAATAATAATCAACTATCTAAAGAGTTTAATCAAATAATACCAGAAGTAAAAGCTAAGTGGATAGCAACAAATAAATTTAACTATTCATCTAAAAATTTTGAAAAATCTAATCAGGAAACTGACACTGAATCTAGACTTGAAATTTTATATTTAGAGTCTCTTTCAACTAATCCTTCTATAAATAAATTAAATAAAAAGTTTAAAAAAGCAAACAAGCAAATTCAACAAGATATAAGCCAAGCTAAAACTATTATTGGACAACTAAAAGACAATTTGGAGCCTACAGAAACACCTTTGGTATCAACTTCTCAAAATCCTCTTCTAAACATAAATAATCAAAATAAAAATACTAAATCTTTAAATTTTGAAGAAGCTTACTTTAATACTATTAATCAAAGAAGAAATATATCTTGACGCACAAGGTCAGAAGAAAATTATCCACGTATTACTCATATAAATAATAGACCAACTATAGAAGAACAAACTAATATGTATATTCCTGATGATTCTCATAGAATGGTTGAAGATCATAGAGTACCAGCTGACTTTACCAATATGCGTTAACACCAAGCACAAAATCAACAACAAACCCCTCCTTCTGAATTTGATAACCAACAAGCACTTCAAACACTTTTAAGAGGCATAAATGAAATGTTTG